AGGTCAATTTGAAGGGAATTTAATAAGCTTTAAGATAACGTTACATACAATTTAATTCAAATTCTATTTTTTCTTAAATTAAAGAAATGTGAAAAGTGAGCAAATCACAAAGTTAACAAATTGTGCTTGTTATATGCGGTTATATGCGGAATTGTAGTGCAACAATGTTTAATTAAATTCAAATTAAAGAAAATATTTTGAAAATGTATTCTTTATCCAAAATAGCATATAAAGAGAGAATAAAAAGGAATATAAATTAACTATCATTATTGCTAAGGAGAACATAAAGTATACATCCGCAAAGTAAAATCAACTAATTAACAATCCCAGATTCTCATTTGTTTATTTCATGATTATTTTCAAGGCGACTCCAGCTTGTTAGCCTAATTTGCACGTTACGTAGTGGAAATATTAAATTCGTTGCTTTGCTGAAAACACGCTGCGAGTCGCACAGGCGAAATAAACGCGCAGTAAACGTGCAACGTTACAACATACATTTGTTTCATTTTCATTTGAGCAAAATGGAATCTCAGGATGGTCGCGCGCTAATCTCGAACGAGGGTTAAGATCTACTAAAGGTCGCAACGTTAGTGATAACAAATGGTAATCAGTTGGATGCGCGATAAACAATGCAGATACCGCCCATGAAGCGGGAGCGGCTTCTCGTTAATTAGATTTTTTGATTAACTATATATAAAGCTGGACCGCGCGCGGCGCGCTGAGGCAGGCGGTCCGCTCTCGCACGTGTTGCACGCCTGTGCGCACGCACACGCGCTTACACACGTGCACGAGGGTCCAGTGCATTCCTTCTCGTAATAGACGGACCCCGAAGCCTGGAACTTTTCGTCCCGTGATACATTTCGAAACGAACAAAAGAGTTGAACGCGGAGCGTTAACCTTTCGGATTGACGGCGGAAGATGAGATTTACTTTCGAAGATGAGGAAGTAAAATTGATTGTAAAATTATATAATTATAAAAGACATTTTAAAAAGAAACAATAGATATGCGCGTAAAATAGAATGTTAATTTTTATTTTCTAATAAAAAGAAATAAGCTCGATTCGAATAAATCAAAACATAAAAGGTTGGGCAACGAGCCAGATATGAATACAAGAGACAATTTAATAGATTACATACAAACGTTTCGACTCCGATCGAGTCATTTTCAATGTTAGAAGACAAATTTAAACTTATAAAACAATAACATCGGAACATATAAATCTTAACAAATAATAACGTTTGAATATATAATTATAAAGAACAGTCATAAATACTGGTAAAACAATTTTTCCATATTTGATGTCAAAAATTGTATAGCCAGATCAGTCCGGATGTAACAAGTTCATATTTGTAATCATCATGTCTATAAACAGTTAACACTACTTTTATCTTCTAAATTTTATTTCTTCTTTGTTCCACGATTTAAAGTTATTGTTTGATTTCAGATTGATGGTAAAATGGGATTTACTCTCGATTTGGCAAAGATGAGAAAGTGATCTTAAAATTATGCAATTGTAAAATCGCAAAAATAAAATGTCAATATTTTATTTCTTAAATTTTATTTTTCCTTTGTTCCATGATGTTTTAAGTTATCACATAATCTACTTTAATTAAAGAACAGAATATAATACAAGATGAACTTGTTTTAAAATGTAAAAATACATATTCTCAAGGATTTGCTTGTCAGACAAATTTTTGCGTATTTGTAAAATCACGAATGAAGGACTCCGCCACTTTCGAGCAACAACAACTTTCACGTTATCATGATTTTTTTTGCTGTATTTTTATTGCACCACGATGAAATCGAGAAACTAGTTTGCATCCATTACCATAGCCTGGTTCAGCTGTCTTAAAAGAGATATGTAACTTCGCTACGCCGTTCAAAAAGTAGAGAAAAACTCATTTATTTTAATGCAAATTGTGTTTCCTTCGCTCGTACAAATCTCAACGAATGAAACGCTTCATCAAAAAGTGTCAATACAATGTAAGAAATGGGAAAGAGAAAGATGTAATAAATAATAGCTAATGAAAAGTAAACATATGTTAAAATAACTGTAATATATAATACGTATTATTCGGCTACTTCCGCAATGATCGAGTCATATATAAAGCATTTTTATAAAGATTGCGGAAAGCAATTAGCAGTCTTGCTAATGCTGTATGCAATAAGTTAGAGATGGTATAGCCGTAAATATATACATTAAGCACAGAGATTCGTTTGCGATATAATCGCACGCGATGGAAATCGCCGAAGAACGTGACGTCCGTAAGTATAGTTACGGATATTTAATTCGTGCTTTTCTCTCTCTCTCTCTCTCTCTCTCTCTCTCCTTAGTCTAAGTGCAATAAAAAAAAAATGTAAAACGACAAAATATTCTTAGATACTTTAATTTAAGTATATGCATGCTCTTTAATTTCTTATTAGTTTTGTAATAAAAATAAGACATGAAGACAAGCTTAAATTCTAATATATATATAAGAAAAAGAAACACTCAGAGTTAGGAAGATAGCTTTACGAGTTACTTATAAGTTATTTTTTAGGTTACTTTATTATAGAATTTGTATTTATCATAGAAATTAAGTACAAGGGCTGGTTTTTCCATCTTTGGATGGACTATGTGATCATTTACCTACTGGATAAATAAAAGAATAAAAGAGTAAAAGCATAAGAGAGTAAGAGAATAAGGGGAGTATCAGACTACGGGTTGACGATTACGATTGACGGTTGCCCGGTTCTATTTCAGCCAATTACGATGGAGTCGCTACATCGTGATTGGTTGAAGTAGAATCGGGCAACCGTTAATCGTAATCGTCACTTTGTAGTCTAATACGGGCATAAGACAGTGAGCTGAAGTTTACCAAAAGGTAGAACCCAGCCTAATGTTCAAATTCTTCACCTCTAGATAACTTTATCCGAGAGATATCTTCCAATTTATAATGGAGCTATCTCCTGGATAAAGTTATCCGCAACTTACCTGGAAGTGAAGAAATTGGACATAAGACGGATATTTTATTTTAATGTAACATACTTTGCGACTTTTTTATAATGTAAGACTTTTTTAACATCAATTGACTATCAATATAATATACTTTGCGACTGAAAAAGACTCAGTAGGGTCGAAACTAGTTTCGCGAGATTAATGTAAATCGGACATTAAAATTATTTTAATATAGTAAAACATCTTATTTTTCGCTCGTCTTTGTCCGTCATTTTATATATAATTTTCTATTGTGTTTTCAATAACGAGCAGGATATTATTGATCATATTTTTATTTTTATGTTAGAGTGCGTCCAAATTATCGAGCTGAACACCGAGCTGCGAATCGAGCCTGCATCCACATTTGATGTGACTCTATATTGATTTCGATAATGTGGATATAGGATCTTTACGATCTGGACGCACTCTTATATTTTATTTGCTCCAATTTCGTATTACTTTTTGTACTCAGATTTTATAACAAATACATATATAAGGTAACCTAAGAAATAATTCATAAATAACTTGTAAAGTAACTTTCTCAATCTTGGAAACATTTCAATATATGTATGTAATAAATATTACTTATTTTAATATTTTATCGTATATATTTAAACTGTGATGCTAATATAATTTTCGGTTCATTTTATCGTAATGTCTACCTACGGTTTATGAATAATATATGCAACTACATGAAAAATATAAATTGATTTTGCATATTCATTGCTGATATATTATGGTTGCATATAATTTGAATCAGCATGGCACAATGTTGTAGAATGCTATTTTTTGTTTGATGATTTATATATTTATGATTTTCTTTCTACATTGCGCCGAACATTATGCACATTAATAAAGCGAGCAAACAAGAGAAAAATAAATAACGAGACAGAACGAGCTTATCAAATCATAAAATAAATTTTAAAATTTCTCTCAAGATATTTAATCATTCAATACTTTGCTGCAATATCAACCCTCCTTCGTTTATATATTATATCCAAGTGGTCTTTATCTTCGCTGAACTAATTAATATGTATGTGCTGAGGGTATGCTTACCTTTCATTTATTAAACTTACATTTATCGTTTACACTTGATAATTATATCGCTCATTAATTTTACATTAATATTACGATTATAAGATGAAGAATTCAAGAACTCAAGAAAGTGAAATAGCATTTTTCTTTCAAGTAGAAAAATATAAAGACTATCTCGAGAGTTTACTGTATTTTCTTTTATTTGTAGACGTTTTGTATAATTTACAATCAATTTTTGTAGCAATAAAAAGCAATAAAATATTTGTTATAGCTATAAATAATCAAACGAATTATTTACAAAAAATATTCTGTTTTAAATTAATGTTTATTGAAATTAATTTTAATAAAAAAGAGAAATTTCAATTTATATGAAAGACAAAAAATGTATATTATAATTCATACATATATTATACGAATTTAATATACATATTTTATGAAAATTTTAAGAAACATCAGTTTTAAATCAGTAAAAGAGGAAGGACGAAAAAGAAAGAGAAAATTACGAAAAAACCTGCATGGGAACTTTAAAATACTTCAGCTCCAGGAATCCGGATGTTTGAAAGATAGTAATCATTCTAGCAGATCAAACTTCGCGGTCAAGTTATAATACGTGTCCTGAGCATTGAACGCTTCACGCAGTTGAGATGTTATCGAAAAAAATACTGTGTTACGATTTTTTATAACTTAGAAATTAAAACAAATGTCGAGATAACATATAAATTATTATTATTATATGCGAAAAATGCAAAAGAAAAGTTCTCTATCTTGTAACTTTAGTGCTTTTTTTCTACAACATTACATGGTCTTAAAATCATTTTTAATGAAGCTTCCATTTTTAATGAACAACATTCTTACAAATACAGCCGGGTTTCCCGCGGAATTGTTTGACAGCACATCCGTACACAAACGCGCAGTTTCCGGCGCGTTCGGTGGCGCGTTTGAAACGGTGGGATTCTCGTCTTGGGATAACAGTTCCTTCGTACTTACCTGGCCAACATTGAGCGCCAGGAGCCAACAGCACACCGCCGCCGTCGGCAGCAACCTCCTCATCGCGACGGTCATTTTGCAGGATGACCCGCGTCCGCGCGTACTGGCTGAGTTGCAGAGCGTGTCGCACTCGCCGAAGGACCCGCCGAAGGCCAGTCTCTCACGTCACATTTTCCTCGGTCTCCGAGAAGAGTCTCATCGTATCCGCCGAGGTACCGTGACGCGATAGTCAGACGCGCTCGCGAGGTGACCACGAGGCGTACCACACGAGGCCGTTCTCCTTTCGCACGCACGCCCTTGCTGACGCGTTGGTATCGCGAAATAGTCTCGGAAATCGACTAAGAAAGTCAGTACGACCGCGACGAGGAAGATCGCTGGCGGGTGTTAGACTGGCGCAATAATGACTGCGCTCACCGAGCTACTCCGAGGGACGCTCAGATGTTCGGTTTACTGGTGGGGATGGAAGTGGCCGTAGTGGCCATTCCCTCTTCATCCGACTCGTTGTATACGCGATGTGGGCTGCGGGCATTCATGTCTCCGGATTCAGTATAGCTGCTCCATGGTTGCTGGTACCGTCGTGAGAGGACGGTAGGGAGCAAGCAAGTGGTTGGCAATCGCGATTTCTGATGTATCAGCAAGGCTTCGTGAAAGTTAGGCTCATAGCGTTATTCAGTTAGTTTTACGGCAGTAACGCCACCAAAAAGTAAACCACCCAGTGAACACAAAGTTATATGTAACGTATCTGTTAGTTGTAATTTCCCACGCAACAATATAATCGTAACAAACAATCCAAAAAACCAGGGCGAATGAGAGTCATAGCGTGGTAGTTAGTACGCAATCTTAAATCTTTATTCCAAAAAATAGTACGTTTCAGTTCACTTTGGAACTCCTCGGCAATACAATTTCAAAATATCAATCCCTTCATGTCCAAGGAAAAAATCACCATTAGATGAACAGATTTGATGTTGTAAAATCCCAAGACATGGAAGGAATTCGTTCCGACATTGGATAAAAAACACAATTTAAAATTTATTATTATATCACTATAGAGAGTATCATGTTAAAACGCATGTTAATCGCAGCTCGAACGAAACATAACTAATACATTTTATATAATAAGTAAGACGTATATATAATATGAGTGTTATGTTACAGTTACTCATATATTATCCTAATAGCACACTTTATTCGAAGGACGTTCTAGAGGACATTCTTAGGACATAGGAATATCCTCTGAATATTCTTTGGAACATCCCTTGGAGATCTGTGCTATTAAGGTATTGAGTGGGAAATTACAACTAACAGATAAGTTACATGTAACTTCCCTGGTAGCAAGCTGACGTCAAAATGACGTAGCTTGCTACCTGGGTTGTGTTCACTGGGCAGCATTTTTAGATAATTATCTGATAATTAGTCGACGGATACAAATTTTATATATAACATCATGATATAAATTGTTCTACAAATGCAATATTTCTTTCCCTGCGGAATACATACTATTGCGAATTTATGGCGTTATACTGTAACTTTATAAAAAAATTTTTTAATGTGTTTAGTTATTATGTAATGAAAAATTTTCTCTTTTGTATTTTGATTAACTGGATGTTCCAATTTTAATTATAATATGAAAATTTAATGTACTGAAGATGGTCACATGTTAGACCGAAACGTTTACTTAGTTTTATTTGAAATACATGTTTTAAGCTAAACACATCAAGCGTTGTGGCTGGATCCTCCTTATTGTTTACAATTATCTGACAGTTGTTAAGATAATTAAGCAGCATCATGAAAACGACAAAAAAGAGATAATACTAATAATAACACCTAATCATTCAAATGGAGTTGTCCAAAACTTCATACTGCTTTGCGTTTGACAATTTTTGCAGTACTTACGATCATAAATATTCGTAAATCTAATCGCTAAATTGCTCATCGTTCAAAATTGTAAAATAATAAAATAATAATTAAAAAATAACGTAATAATAGAAGAAGAAGATATTGTATTACTTGGCTTACCTGTCAACAAGGAATGTGATTTAATTTTACTCGACCACACATATTCAACCATACCTTATAATTATTGGCTAACTAGAACCCATCCTCAATTTATTACTTTTATCTAAACCTATACCTGCAAATGCTTCTTACCCTACATATTACAACCTTAATTTTTAATTCTACTTCTGATTACTATTCTACAATTTTCATGAAAAAATACTAATCTTTTTCCTATATCTTCGTGACAATTTGTATAGTTTTCCTAATAATACATTTTTCACAATTATTTTACACCTATATTGTTATTACCCTAATGAATTAATAATATAGCATTAAATTAATAAATATAATGGTTTCTTATCAGTGGCTGATTTATACATTTTTGCACCCTAGGCCCTGTACTTCTTAAATTGGCGCCCCTTTAAGACCCAATGCGTCCCTTTTAGACAAATAAACAATAAAAAAGTTGGCTATTGTCGAAAAGTATCACTTTTTCACCAAAACATCAAGATTTTAGTTTTATATGTAAAAGTACTACTTCAAGGTGCCACATTGGCGAATATTGCACAACTGACAATCTTACACAAATATAAAATTTACTTTAATTTTGGTTCTTAGGAGCGCCCCTAAGTCTGGGCCTTGTGGGCTTCTGTCTAAATCCGCTACTGCTTCTTATATTTGAAGAACTTTCAAAGCGATACTAACAAAGACTATTTAAATAATTATTTAATTCATCGATAGAGAGATAAGAATTTTAATTAATCTTAATCTAACTACGATTCGTATTTTTGTACACATTACCTTCGTGTTCCCTTAGATTCTATTCCAGGGAATCCAAGGATACTTACATATTGAACCGCCTGATTGACTAAATATAAATCAGACGAATTTAGGGTATTAAAATTCAGATATCTAAAATTATTCAAAAGCACCAAAAATAGTGAAAAAACAAAATAACACATAACAGCGTTAATGTACTGGCAACAACTACTGAAACCGGTTCGAAGAGACTCAAAAATTATAATAAACGACCCGTGCAGGCCGACCTAGACTGGTTCGACCTATCGTGATTAAAGAAGACGTACGGATCTTTGAAAGTGCGCCTATCAGTTTCGAAGATAATACTCGACTTTTTTTTTAGAGAACCTACATTGTAATATTTTGGGACAGGCTTGGATGTATTCGATTTATTATTCACGGTTTTGTATGTATCGCCTTCACAGGTACTTTAGGCTATCGTCAAAGCCATGCTTAAGACGTCACAATGTAGACAAAGACTTCATATAACAGACAATAGAAGCGGCTTGTAATCATTCGCGAGTAATGTATGATACATCTTGATCTGCGAAGACAGATATTGTATCTGAGACCTGAAATTGAAGCGACATTTATAGGTATATGCAGACATCAATAGCTGTGAATGAGAAACGTCGGTTATAATTATTGTTTTCCTCTGACTTCAAAGAGGAACGTATATAATATGTATATAATAATAGATCTTTTAGTACATAGAAAACATAATATATTATTTTAACTTTGAACTTTGTAACATTGATTGTTTTATACTTAATTAACAGTAAGACATTGATTTACTTAAATTAGTATTAACTTAAATTATTTTATATCGTGACAATAACTTTATCAATTATTAATTTTGTAATAAAATTGTTATTTCACGCCTCCTGTTCTTCAGGCATCTGTTTTTCCATTGTAATCATCACCGGTTTTGGACCTTGTGAAACTTTTGGAAGTACGCAGCTGAGTAGGAACTCGTCTGATACACAGGAGGGTGGAAACTTTATTTTTCTTTGTTGATTTTGCTGAGAATGACCCCAAGAGATGGTCGAAACGTTCGAGTGTACAACAAGTCAAATACAATTTATATATATATTCATATATATATAATCAATGATTGTGTATTAAGCACCGAATTCTCATTTACCTATTTTTCTACATTATTTTAATTTCGAGAGTCCATAACTAGTAATTCTTATTTATCAATTGCATATCATAATATATTTTTTATTTGTAAAGACAATTAAAAAAATATTATATAGTTTATTAATAATTTTTATAATAATTCTATGTCCCTTTTTATTTTTTTCATATTTTAATGTTTTATGAATAATAAGTATTAACTTTAATTAATCTTAACAACAACCTTGTTAGTATTGTATTCAGATATTTGGATATAAAAGAAGTTACTTAATACACTGATTTGAAGAAATAAAGTACACTTATTACAACGATATTTTTCATATCCGCAATATTTCTTATCAGATTATTGGCAACGAGACAAGAAGTTTGACAGTCAAGTCTTCTTATTGCTCTTTCATCTACATCCGTTGAATTCGTCGAGACTGTCGAGAAGTTCGAGGAGGAATACTTCGTCGCGTATTGATTGAAGTTTCTTTGAAACGAACGGGGGAGTCTTGGTTATGCTTCTTTAAATGCAAATAAAGTGAAGGCGTTATGTAGGACCTCCTCGCTTTATCAGTAAAAATCTCATAAAACATTTATAAAAATTGTATATTCTTTATGACACCACCTTGACATTCTTCAGTGCCAAATATAGTCTCTTATTGAAGATCTGACAAAGATATGAACATGGTTATATACATTATATGTAAAATAATATCGACGTTATCTTGTAATAATAGTACAATTTAAATAGTAGATCACAGAATATTGCTGCATGTTGTATATAGTACAAAGATGTCTAAAAGATATCTGTAAGTATTTTTTGATTACTTACTTTTACTCGCTATATTAATTTTTACTTGCTTGAAATAAATCGTATTATATTTCATTTAAGAAACGTTTTTATGTACGTTTTTGTAATAATCATGCAATTTAATAAATAGTAGAATATTAAATGAAAATCGATCGAACGAGATTAAACACACAAGAGTGAAAAATACCATATTCGATTTGCTTGAACTAGATACTGTAAAAATTCACAAGAAATATTATTAGGCACGAAACGCCGCCTTGACCAAATTAATAGCATGTTTCACTCAAGTGTGTTTAATGAACAATAGAATATTGCTATATATTGCACATAGTATAAGATGTCTAAAAGATATCTGCAAGCACATCTCTCGATTACATATTTTCACTCGCTTAAAATAAACCGTATTATCTTTTATTTAGTAGATGCTTTTCTAATAATATAAGATATAAGTTTAGCTATTCTTCAACGTCGACTTTTTCAATAAGAAACTTTTCAATAAGAACTCCGATAGATGCATCAATATTGCAAAGAGTTTATTGTTGCTGATGGGTTTTGCCTCAAGCTCTATATAACGTCCCCTCGATAGAATCTCACAAGGGACGTCACACTTCGCGTTCTTAATAACGTCCGGGGGTTGTATTCAATCTCAACAAACATTCACCCACATTCTCCGAGAGTTTTATTTTCGTCCCTTTAAAAAAGAAACATCATCGATACGATCGTTTCGCAAGTTTCCAAATATAATTATAATATTTCCTACGAAAATCGCCTTCTCGTTTTTCGAAGGGTGGCTCTTAATGGCGCAAAGGTCGTATTTGTCGGGAGGGTTGCGAGAGCAGTAAAGCAAGTTTCATCTCCAGTCGGCAAGTAGGCGAACCGTGTTTGACATGCACCGAACAATCTCGTGCAAATACCAACAGGCAGACGAGGGCTGCTTCCCTTTTTTATTTTCCCCTACCTATGCCATTCTTCTCTCGCGCGAAGCCGGCGACGAGTTGCGCGAGGGAACTCCACGAGGGACGCGAGGGGGTTGGTAGATGATAAGGGGTTGCGCAAGCGCCGGCGTATCGATCAGGGTAGCCCTCCGGGCGACACCCTCGCGATTCTCCGCCGAGCTTCACTGCTTCATCGGCAAACTAGTGGGTAGTACACGCACGCGACACAGGTAAGTGGTTGTAGTTTAAGAGTCGCAGGTGTTAGGTGAGGTTTTCAATTCTGTGCCTCGTAAGAAGGTCGATTCGGCTGAGAAATGGTGATTCCACGTGAAATCGCGATTTCTTCGGAACACGCCTTCTCGTAAAAGGACTTTGCCGGTTCTAGCCGCGTAGAGTACGCAAGGTGACAGGCTGGTGGCGCGCACCACCTTCACGTGACGGTTGTCTTCGCCGAGCGGGGTAGTTTCGATTCCTCTCTCGGGGTAGTTTCAACGTCGCTCTCGATAGTCGCTCGATAGGGCTGTCGATGAGACACGCAGATAACGTCGTTGGAATAACGTTGTGGGAATAGCGTCGTGGGCTTTATAACAATAACGAATCAGCGCAATCGAGTGCTCCAGCAAATTGCTTTATCTAGCAAAAGCTCGAATCAACGTCTTTGCGTAGCGAGAGATCACCAAGGTAAGTTTATCGCTCGTATTGACGGCGAGGACAGGCGACGTGTGGGCGGTCGTTGATAAATGGGATCGTTATCTCCTTGAATGGAGGTGTATGTATTTTAATACGTATAGTGCAGTTTTCGGATTTACGTCCATTGCGCAAGATTTCGGTGTCTCGTTTGGATGGGGTACAATCGATGTTCAGTCATAAATAGTCGGGATAGTCGGAGAAACGAGAAATGAATGCGATAATTTTAGCAGGGGTGACACATCGAGTTTCGGGAGACGAAAAAGTAATGGCGAATGCGTGCGTTTTACAAAGCGGCATCTTCATTGATTTTTTTGTTGTTGAATGAATTTTAATTTACGTTCAAGTTCTCTTTGGTGAACCTCTTTCTATCCTTCTTTTTGTCGTGACGTTAATAAAAGAGGTATTTTCTTGGAAAGTTTTAGTCATGGTCGCTGAGATGGATCTTATGATCAGCATAAACGAGAATATTCTTTTGTGCGATACCGTTTCTTTCTTTTTATATGCATGCTTAAACATATTCTTTTACGAGGATTTTACCTATATTTCTTATCGGAGTATTCTAGTAATTAATAAGCGGGAATTTATCTTTGTAATAAAAACGGTTAAAAGTAACGATCTTTAACGTCGTAAGTTCGGATCATGAATCATGATATAGAAATTAAACCCAGAAGTGCTTTTACTAAGCCTCGAATTTTCCATCTTTTGAACGGAGTGAGGTTGATGAGCTTAATTTATATTAATGAATTCGGTCGTTAATCTTGTATGCACAATAATCTGTCTTCATGTAAATGTCAATACATTATCATATTACATCAATTACGATACATAATAAATGCGATCTAAAAGCGTTAATTAAAAAAAAACCTGATTGTCATCTATTTTTAGATTATAAGAATTTATAGATTAGTCTTGAAAAGTACTGTAATAAAAATTTGATAACTATAGTAGTTGTATTCTTCAGCTTAATTCATTGTATACGGATTAGCGGATTCTTCTGTTACGCAATTTCTTGTAACATTTTATTTTACCTCAACCCGAGCAAAATATGTGATAGATATATCGAAAGATAACAGGAATTTCATTAAGATTCCAAAGTGAGTCAGATACGGAGATTAAAACAAGCAGAACGCAGCAATCTTTTAAATGAGATCTAATCTTCGTAATTACGTGAGTTCAAACATCACTGGAAGTACAATATCTGTAATCCATTGCATTTGGAATTATGAAGATACGTAATATACAATTTATATCAGTGGCGTACAGAGCAACATTTGCGCTGATTTTAACATGAATATTTTGAGATATTCGATCATCATTAATGTAAATTCATGATTCGGCATTTATCCCCAATAATGCTTATATTATTACGCTGCGGTAAATTTTCTATCAATATATTCTCCTAATTTAACGTAGAGATGCTTCAATATTTTATAATTAAATCAAGAATTTACTGTTTAATTATTCTCGCTCGATAAGTCTCCCGTTGAATTTCAACGATTTTGTCTGAGTGGACAGACTCTCGGTAAGCCGGCTGTATCGATCCTTGCACCATCTGTCATTTAATGGTGGTTAAATGTATCGGAATAGGATTGGAGTATAAATATTTGTACAACCGGTGTTACTACGATATCTGTATTAACACCTGTAAAATTACATACAGTTAAGTACTACTTGCTACAATAAATGATCCTTCAAAACATTACAGAGGCAAATTTATGTTCTTATTATTTATATTTCTGAGTGTCATTAGGAAATATGAACGAATAGTCATCATACTTGCTTTCAATCGATAGTAATATTACAGGATCAATATTTTATTTCCCTCCTTACTTTTTTCGATATCTGTCAGAGGAAGTTATACTTTATACTTTATGGTCATACTTTTTTTTTATACATTTATCGATTATTTTTCCACATATTCTGGAATAACAATTGAGTATCTCAATCTCTGAAGCTATATTTTATTTCATATAACTAAAGCGTTATCATAATTCTAATTCAGACTTTTAACTGCACAGAACTTTGTATCAGGTAACTTATTATCTGTTAACACACATACCAGGCTATTGTTGTGACTTTCTTGATCGTATGTAACATAGTCATTATAGGAATTCGATGCATGCAGCGGTATTGTGCGTGTAAAATGCTCGATGAGCTGTATCCACAGGCGTAACTCATCAACACGTAATGGCTCTATAACTCGTTTACCACTTCGCGGTCTAATAGGTAGGTGCTATTCGCAGCGCGAGGATAATTCTATGCAATGTCTTACACTAAACCACGAAAATTGCGAAATGCTATCACATGGAAATTGGTACAAGTGGAGTAATCTTATTTCTCATTGATTCATTTGATTTGCTTCTCTATAATTTTACTTAAATTATACGCTCGCACGATTTGAATTTCCTGAAGCAACAAACGCGAAGGCGAAGCAGCTTAAAATCACTATAGCATGATAAAATCAGAAGATTTGAATTAAGACTTTAAAGAATGGCCTCGGAATGAAATATGGAATGCCTACGACCCAGATATTCATTCACCTGCAGGCTCTATGATAAATTTAGAATTTTCTCTTCGCAAGATCTTGATGCAAACTCATCACTCATCGTATATTCTTAAATATTTTTTAACCCCTTCTTCCTTTAAATCCCAATTTAGTCAAGTTTATTTTAAAACGCTAAAGGCACTCATATATTATAGTGTTTAAATAAATTATGTTTAAATAAATATATTGCAGTGTTTTAATAAATTAAAAAAATTTGATGTTATATAATAGAATCTCTTACGAAATGTTTCGATGTACAAAAAAACAATCGTTTTACTCTCAATTTGATGTGAAACATGAAACTAAGAATAAAATAAAAGGGAACATTCTGCAAGCTGTTTGTTTGATTATCAAATCGAATCGGGAGGTTTCTCTTCTCGAGTAACACTTCAAGAAAGTTGAATGTTGGAGATACACGCGAACTTCACTAGTTCTGCGAATCGTGCACGTTCTCCCTATTATCGAAGAAGTACGGAAGAAACAAATATTAACGGCCGGAATGTATCATTGCTTCCTCGACGCTTCTTTTCTTGCGATGAGCATAGAATTATCCCGCGAGAGCTCTTCAAGAAAAGGTGCGTTCTACCTGGTGATACGATCGACGAAGCAAGCCATAGAAGTAGCATTTCCGTGCCGCGTGTATGTTCCAAGAATACGTAAATGCCGGTGTACTCGCACGATGCCATGAAGCATTTCTGAAATTCCAAGCAAAATCGCGCCTCGACTATCGATTTTCATGAGCTTTATATTACGAGTCATTGGTCACACCGGTTACATCCGTAACTCTTTCCTTTTAATGCATAATACGTGATTTCGAAGTACTCTTTATACCTCGATGTAACAGCGGTAATTTTTTATCGTAAAACTATTATACACAGAGAAAAAAGTTTCTTTGGATTTAGTATTCCTATTTATTTGACTAAAATTTGTTTTATCGAAATAACATATGCTTGTACGCGAAATATTATTTGTTTGAATAAAAATTCTGTTGTTTCATTCGAGAAATCTCTATTGCTTGACAGAAATAACGTTATTATTTGAAGTAATATCTTTCAATTAAATAATATATTATTTGGCTACAATGTATACAAACAATGAAACAAATTATTTATTTGAAAATGGCAAAATATATTCATAGAAGTTAGGTTATTCTATGCAAATAATTGTTTTCTTAGAATAATCATTACATTTTTTGACCGAAAATATGGAAACAATGACTTATACGTCTAACAGGATTAAACGAGCAATGCTATATGCTACATCAATTATGTTTGTGCCGTACAGTTGATCACGCAAATACTGAAAATAGATATTATCTGTTCAAACAAATAATATATTTATAAGACAAAGATATACATTGTTTCAAATTCAAACAATTGCACTTATTGATTCAAACGTTGATTTGTTTGGACCATTCCAAATACAAATTTATTCCAATAACAAATTTATTTGGATACAATAAAATTTATTACATCCAAAGAAATCTTTTTCTCTGTGTAAAAAATTGAAAAAGGATTTTTTAAATTAAAGTAAGATATACCATTGAAAGAGTTTTAAAGTTTTAACTATTCTATTGAATTTTGGCAAAACTAATGTTTTTTTTTTTTAAATAAATCATTATGTTCCTTCTTAAATATGTTTTTAATGCTTCAAATATAAATACTTTAAACAATATTATAAAGTACATATTTAAAATATATTAAAAACGTCAGTTAATAATGTTTTAAACTGTTTAAAATATGCTTTTTATCTATTCTATGAATTTTACGTGAAATTTTACTGAATTTCTTTTATATTTCCGCGAATGTCTGAGCTTAAGCATTCATGAAAAAAATTAATCTCGTCATATTTTTGATATCATAAGCTGTTAATATCTTAATAATGTGCACAAACATTCACAAAGCATAACATAAAGAAAGTAACAGAATCACGAGTGGGTTTTATAATTCTAGCTTATTATTTCCGATACACGAGAGAACCAATTACGAAAAGATCTCTTGTACAATAAAAGTGTATTATTTATAGCAGAAATAGGTCATTTCGTTTAAGCCACTCGAATTAAAAAGAAATTTCTCAGCGTTATAAAGAATCCAAGTATTACATATATCAGTACTCAGGTATAATATTACTTTGTAGAATTGAATTATATTAAAAAGTGTCGGACCTTCGTATTTAAAAAAATAATTAATTTGCTTTGAATAATCCGAAAATATTATAGAATAGAAATAAAATTTAATAAATTTTGATTGTTGTTAAATTATAAAATATATATTTTGATAAATAAAAATTCTACATATGTTTATTTTTTCAAATATAGAAAAAACAATATAAAAAGGATCAAAAATTAATAATTATTGTATAAATAATATCGTTATTTGAATAAAAAATACCGCGTTCTAATTTATTCAATGGATCCAAATAATACAACTACCTGAGTATACAACTATTTATACAATTACAGTCTTATTTACGTGAATAAGAATCAGGGGACACAGTAAATGCCTCGGCGCCAAGACAAACGCAGCATCTATAATAATTACGAGTATAATTGATTCAATTACTTGGCATTTAAATCCTTTTCTCTCTTCTACTTGCAGATTTCAACTTGGATTGTTTATTTTCTCCTTCCTCACCTCCTCTTATTTCATCCTTTCCTTTCGGATTACCTTACGTTGAAATTTATCCCGCGACGCATCAAGCAAAGAAAACCCGTCCCATCGATCTGGGATCCAGCGACACGATCGATCGAGCCACAACGAACGACCTATTTCGCGCGTCGCGACGACGTCGCATCATCAGCAGTGCAAGGATCATCGCCACGACAAAGAACTGAAACGGGTTATCTTCTAGATCGCTAACGGTCCGAGCAACGAAACCGGGAGCCGTTTCGTCGCAGCAACGAGCTCGGTGTAACCATCAAGATTACCGGCCGCGGCGGTTGCGCCAAGTACTGTGGTACAGCTCCATCACCCGGCAACATTTCATTCTCCAGTTTTCGTCAGTCCTTCACCTCTAATGTCAACTACCTGAAACGGAGGTGAGTCGTTGGTACATCAGTTCTGTAGGACTGACATTTCCTCTTGCGCTTATTAATTTGGTGGATTTAATCTACGGTGCTGTGCATGTTTATATATGCCCAAAGGATTAAAGTCATCTTCTGTATACTTTCCGTAATTTTATTGACGCAAGCATATTGAGGAATGTCAGTCCGAATCTTGAATCTGCATGAAGTAAAATGCGATGTATTTTGTATTGTATTGCGTCCGCCGATCTCCCGGATTGATTTTATGGAATATTTCTAGAACGCATGGGATCGGTAATGAACTTGAGACGATACACATCTCTCGATACTCATCAGAAAACGTTTTTACGGATGAAAATAAGCAATTTACGTGAACTTAATCTTATTTCTTTGTTTCGTTACTGCGTATAAATGTAGCAATAACTTATAATTGCGAATAGCGCTCCATACTCTCATTATATTGCGCGCTTTAATGCACTTTTAACGTAATTACCGGTCGCCTGTTATCGGACGAGGTCCAGAGATTCCTATAATTAAAATCCGGCATGGAAATATTTCGACCGAAACGTCACTCTACCTGCTGCTGAGAATGAATACGTTGTTGAAAGGTATATACTTGATGAAAACTTATGTATCACATTGCCGAGCTAAATCCTGTTTTTATGAGTACCTCTTATATGGAGTCAATTTACGCACACTGGCGTGTGCACGATAATAATCGGCCTTTAAAACAATGTGCGCGATACCTCAATATTCTGCGCGCTTCGGCGGCTCCCATAGTGCGCCCGTGAAGAGAAAATAGATTCCTCTGTCTAATTAGCCGGACACGAGTGCTTACCTGAGTCGGCCATTAAGCAAGCAGCAACATGTCAAACTTTCAGTGTTGAAAATTAGGATTACTGAACTCGACGCGAAGGTTCCCACACTAATTTGCGAAATCATATATATTCGAGAATTTCCGTTAAACCCATATATTTGCTTAAACATGAAAATATACTTTTAATAAAATACTCTTTATATCTTTTATCTATAAGTATTTAAAGCAATGTTAATATAATAGGAAGCTCAAAAGAGATTTTTCTTTACTTTTTTTATATTTACGGTATCGAAACTTCGATCCTATAAAATTAATTCTTAAAAATCCTATAAAATTGATCCTATCAAATCCTATAAAATTAATTCTTAAAATACTAAAAATTCTATAAAACTAATCCTATAAAATTCTGTAAAGTTAATTCTTAAAATACTGTTAATCGATTGCAAAGGGAGAGTTTTAAATATCAAAAGAGATCATATCGAGATGTTTGGGAATCTCCGTTTATTTGAAAGTGCACTCTACGTTATTGACAGGGAATCCAAACACAGTACCTTAATGTTTTTATTAATAATTCCAAGTCCTTCGTGTTCGATAAATATGGATATGTGCATGCGGCTCGTTAAAAATACCGCTTCCAGCATTGCCCCAAATGCAACAGCCTGGACGCACGCCATGATATCAAACCATCGCGCTAACGTTGCTTTACCCACGGCAACGTTAGCACAACGCTACCTTGCCTCCTTCATCAGCGATATCGCGTCTTTCATCTCTCGCTTTATATTTATGACGTAAATCTCACTGTTACTTATGAGTAACCACATTTACACGTAGTGTAAATCGATGATGTAAATGTGCAACAACGTGGTTTCGTGCGGATGTCTTAGGCATTGTTCGCATTTAGGTTTGCTCATTTTATTCGACGCGCAACAAATCATTTGAGCAAAAAAGAGATTACCGCCTAATGGATGAAGAAAAAAGAAACAAATATGCTGCTTCGAACTGAACGACGCCGTGACCGTCTACTTCGCAACCGAAATAGACGTAAGATCCGCAGCACGCATGCAACGCCGGCCGATTAGCGACCGCCCAGCCTCATTGCCGACGTCATCTCTCCATGCTCGTCATCCCATCAGCACCGAATGGCTGTGATCGATGTGCATTTAACGCAGTCAGACACGACAGCGTCAGTGCGCGGCCTGCCGACCGATTGTCACTGTCACGACGACCACCATAGCTTGTCTTCCAGGTTCTCGTCAGGGGACCTAAGCTCGGAGCTCGACGATGAGCCCAACGCGGATCCTGGGATGGCCACCGTGGGACGGCAGGACTCGTCTCAGCCGTATCAAGCAGTGCCGGACCGACCCCTGCAGTCCCAACCGGGCCCGATACCGCTGCCGACCCAGCCGCCGATCCCGGGTGTTCCACCCCAGGGACCGCCGCAGCCCATCGGCGGCGATCTCAGTCTCAACCTGAGACCTGGCTCGCGGACCACTAGCGCACCATCCTCGCCGGCGAAGACACGGGAGAGTTTGCTCCAACGAGTACAGAGCTTAACTGGTGCCGCCCGCGACCAGGCAAGTCTATTTCATTCCCATTTTCCTTATTTAAATTTATCCGACAGTTTCGGTCTAACAGAATCAGGTTTAATTCAATCTGAAGTAATTTCGTCGCTTAATCATTATTGAAACGAATAAGAGACAGGGTTATTAATAATTAATTAAATAATAGGAAGAATCCTATTTTCAGTCAAAGCAAATATGAATATTAATATTATATCAAAATGCATTTCAAAAACAGGATCCTCTCTGTTATTTGATTTATTTCTTATCGATCTAATTTTCATTTATAATTATTTAATAATTAATTTAATTATTAATAGTCCTGATTAAATAAGTAATATCCCAAAATCTTTCTCAAAATATCTCTCTATTAGTTCTGTGTTTTCGAAACCTTTAAATCTGTCTTTCTCAAAAGCATTTTCCTGTCATTCCTAGAGAAGTTAATTATAATCAATCTTCCGTTTGGTCGGATATGTTGCAAGACGAGAATGTCACAGTATGTGACAGCTAAAATGATGCGTAGGGTGCTTCTATTTTGGGAGCGGCGGTATCTGGCGCGACCAGAGGCTCATCATACAGCAAGGACCGATGCTTTACTTTACTGGTGATCGATGACCAGAATACCGACTGGAGCAAATACTTCCGGGGACGCAGATTGCATGGCGATTATGAAATTCGCGTGGAGCAGGCGGAATTTCGAGAACTGTCCCTGACGGCAAGCGAGGCGGGCACCGTAGTGTCCATGGCTGTCTATCGTAACGGGACCAAAGTTATTCGGTAAGATGAAATTGAAGGATGAATTTTTTGAGAATAGTTTCTGCATCCCAATCATTTTATTGATCCTCTGCGTTAAACTAAAATGCATGATTTAAATAGTTTAACATAACTTTTATAATTTAATAATACTTTAACAATTTAATATTACTCTGCGTTTCTCTTAGACTTCAATACGAAATTAAATTATCCAGAAATAAATTAAAATAGTTTAAGAAATTTAAAAAGTTAATATCGTACATAATGTGTAAAAAACTTTTAAATAGAATGTTAAATATAATGACGTAATGAGACGGAAGTAAACTTATTATTTAAAATGTTAAACCAATATCAAGTAACGGATACGTAGCACCTATCATTATTTGTTATCAGATCGTTCAAACCTGATTTCGTATTGATACGTCAAAATCTACGAGATGCTGGAGAAGATTACAAGAATCTTCTTCTTGGTCTGATGTATGGCGGTGTACCTAGCGTTAATAATCTCACAGCAATTTACAACTTTCAGGTAATATATTATTACGGTAGAATTATCGTCTTTATAAACAACTCTCTAATTATTATTTACAAAATATAATAAAGAAAATAAAGCTTATTAAGAATATTATAATTTCAGTCATCTACAAATAAGTAAAAATCTTTAACAAATATATGTTAATATATTTACATAAATATATATATAATTATAATTAATATGTATATCAAAACATTATTTTATTTTTATTAATAATAATAATTTTCAAAATTTAACCTGTATTAAAAATACAGAAATTAAATAGGATGATGAGAATTTTAATGTACATGTTGTATGCGTAAATATATATGTATGAAGCTCTTCACATGTGATGTTCTGTATCGATTTTGTGTTATATATATATATCTTTCTTACATGCACATTATAAGTGAACCTATCAGTAATTACTATCGTATTCTATGAAATAGGACAAACCTTGGGTATTTGCTCACCTGCTGGGACTACAGCGCCGTTTAGGTAAAGATAACTTCCCCTTGATTGAACAGAGTTATTATCCCAATCATCGCGAAATGGTAAGTAAAGTCAATTAAAATATTAAAAAATTTCATTTTTTCATGTTTAAAAAAAAGAGAAATTTTAAAATCATTATTAGAATGATATATAGTTTATTATAATGAGGACATGCTTATAAGAACAACTGTTTTCATTTATTTTTATTCTACATGTCATAATAACACTTACAAAATTACCACATTTAAGAGCTAAACTAAATAAAACGTTTATACGTAAAAAATAGATATTTTTTCATTCGAAAGTGCACATACATATAAATTTTTAGCATTCTTTGTATTTTAAATTGTGAATTTCGATCTACACAAATTGCTTTCGCTTAACGTTAATGAAACTATATATCCATAGATACATAGAGAACAATACATATTAGTAGAGTAAAAACAATGAATGTATTTTTACAACGCAACATCAAAACCTACATATATTTATAAGATTATAGATTCGCATATTCAGTGTTTCCATCAGATTAAATAATTTCTGAACTATGAATAATAATGAATGTAAATAACAAATGTATACATAGACTATACGATTTGATTTAGATCTAAAATGCGCATAAAATATCATGAAGTATAATAAAGTACGAGTGAATTTTTAACGACGAATTTCTAAGACTACATACAACGATAATTGGAATAATTTAATGATACATAATATACATAAACAATACATAATATATATACAACTCGTTAAGAGCGAGTGAATAA